TTTTCGGAATTATTTTCGCTGTTTTCGGAAATTTTCGATAATTTCCCCGCCTTTTTGGGGATTTTGCAGGGTTCGTGTTTTATTTTTCGATACGTTTTGCGATTGCAATTTTCGTGATTCTTCGAGCCTTACTCTTCAGGATTTTTCGAAAACTTTTGTAACTTCTAGACTCTGGGAGATGTTCTTGGACATTTTTTGGTATCTTTTGTGCTAGTTCGGAGTATTTTTCGGATTCTTTGTGTTTTATGTTTTTGTATGTTTCGGAATTTTTGGTGTTTTCGGTAATTTTCCGAGACTTTTCAGAGATCGCATTTTATTTTTCGGGACGTTTTGGGATTCTTTCGGTACTTTTCGTAATTGTTCTTGTTATATATTTCGAGAAATTTTTGTAATTTTTTCGGCACTTCTGTATTTTTTTTTTGACCTTTCGAGATTGATCTGGTTTATTTTTCCAGACCGTTGGATTTTTTTTTTGCGCTTTTTCGGGATCAATTGTGATTGCTCTGAAGTTTATTAAGATTCTTCGTGTTTAATTTTTTCGTGATCTTCAGGTATTTTTCGGGAGTTTCCGACCATTTGCAATTTTTTCGGCATCTTTAGGAATTATTTTCGGTGTTTTCGGGAAATTTCGAGAAAATTCGAGTTTTTGCGGGGCTCGAATGTTTTATTTTTCGAGCGTTTTATTAATGTTTCGGAACTTTTCGTGATTCTTCTTTTTTTATTTTTGGTATTTTTCAAGAAGTTTTGTTATTCTTTCGGATTTTCACAGGACTTTTCTAACTCTCGTGACTTATTTTTCTACACCCTTGTCGAATTTTCGGAAATTTGCTGGATTTCAGGATGTTACAGAATTGATCGGTATTTTTTTGAGGTTCTTCGTCTTTTGTCTTTGTAGACATCTTCGGTATTCCTTTATTTTTATAGATTTTTCGTTACTTTTCGGAATTTTTCGGGATATTTTCTAAGCTGGTAAAAATTTTCAGGACCTTTCCAGATTTTTGCGGACCATTGGAATGCATTCGGGATTTTTTCGAAAACTTGGAAGTTCAAAATTATATTTAAGTACTTAACTTTTCTGGCAAAACCAATTGATTGCACTAATTTCTAAGAAAATTATATATAGGGGTTTGTTTTCTTAAAAAAAATGTTTGCCTTTTCATTGCCTTCTCCTTAATATATGTCCTAAGAGGACGATGAGAAGGTACGGTTTTTCGGTGGAAATTAAAACGGATTTAGTTTCTTCAAGGTAATCGAACTTTTCCAAAAATGTCAGCTCCAACTTGCGAATAGTATTTTTAAAGTAAACGAACAAACGACTAAGCTCCCGAGAGGGAGCGTGGGTTCGAACCCCACACCTGACACCATATTGTAATAATGGGGGACGATGGTTGTGTATTCAAAAAGTGGACTCGTTTATTTGATTTTTCATGAGATACATAACTTAACTAGGGTTGCTTAGTCTAGTTACTCATTCGCAGTATGAGTTGTATCTAAATAGTAGTAATAGCATTTATGTCATTTAGTAGTAAATAGTAGAAGATTTAAGTTACATGTAAACAGTAAGTATTTAAGGGTTTATTTTACAAATATTAATATACAACACTCAAAACACATTTTTATTATAAAATTTGAAAATTTACATAACCATCCTCTCCACCATGATACAAAAAAAAGGTAGTTTCATTAAAAAAATTTTGACAAAAAATTAGTTTTTGAAGTTTCATAAATTGTACAAAATTATGAGCTACCTTGCCACATTGATATCAATGAAACAATACATCAGAGGGTTTAATGTTGTGCGTTGGAAATGTTCGGTTATTTGTAAAATGATTTTTTGGTGGGGAGCGGAAACGGAAGGTGCGTGTCACCAAAAACACCGAGCTAAATAGGTGGATATGGAAAATAAATTATTGTTTTCCTGGAATGAAAATTTTGAACAAAATTCTGTTTTCAAAGTCGTGGCTGTCAGCGGAATCGGATAAGAACACTGCTATTTTTTAAAAAAGCACCCCGTTTTTTAAAAACATTTGAATCTCAGATACTTACGTAATTCTTATCTTATTAAAGGTCAGACCTATAGTATTTTAATTATTTGAGCATCGCTCCTCTTTGTAGCCAGACGTTGATCATTTCTGCTGGAAATCCCTATTGAAGGAGCTTACTCTTTGACTTTAAATAGCAAAGAAGGGACAGTATATATCCATCCGAAAAAATATTGCCCGACAAGTAAACAAGATTACTGTTCTTTAATTTTTTGCTAAAAATAAATTCCCCAATGAGCTCCATTTGCAATTATTGAAACGAATATATGTAACATCAAAAGCAAATCACGAAAATTTGGTTAAGAATTACAGTGCATAGCTTCTTTTTTTGTGTCTAGTTGTTTTTTTAAAATTGGTCCAAAAAAATAATATTAAAGAAAGAAACGAATGCAGGTATTGAAAGAAGAGAAAACAAAAAATATTGTTAAAAAGGCTAGGTTCCCTTTTACGTACGTCAAAGGTCAAGTAGAAGTTGGAACTTGCATGACTGCCCATTGATTGCTCAGTTATATAGCTGAAGAAATAATAAGTTTAAATACATTTTTGTCTAAGTTGATAAATGTGAACAGTTTTGTTACACAAATACTCCCACGACCACAGGCAAAAATATTGGATACAATTTGTCATTTTGTTTGCCATATATACGTTTTATCGATGCACTTGCACAACATTCGTATTCGCAAAAGCTCCGCATTGATTATTGCGAATGCGAAAGCGAATGCGAATGTTAAAATTAATGCGGAAGCTCCGCAGTTGCGAATGCGAATGCGAATACTCGCAACAACCCTGGTACAAATATCCGAACCGTAACCAAACTGTCTTACTTATGCCAAATACCTGGTTTCTTGCTTATATTTATGCATATATATTTTTGAGCAGCGCCACACCTTAACAGAAAATTCCGAGAATCCAAAATTGGTACTGTTACAAGTTGCATGGCATCATTTTCACTCGATCTCCACCCTCTTCCACGGATAGCGGTACATCGGTTAGAGGTTTAAAAATATTTTGTGTCAGCAATTTGTCATCAAACTGCATTAAATCGTATCTATCGTATACTCTATCCTCTATCCAAAAAACTTTATTTTCGAACGTTTGCACAGGTGTATCAAATTCCTTCAGTTTGAAAACGCGCAAGACTCCTTAATGTTTTCATCCAACTTCACTAACTTAAATTTTTTTTTTACTTTTTCAAGAAATAAAAATTTTTCTTCTAGTGAATCTGGTAGCATGGTTTTAATGAAATGTCATAAACTTATTAAAAGTCAAGTGGTCGGCAACAACAACGAATGTCAATAAAACTGAAATTAGTCGAGAACGCAGAACGTATACTTAAACGCAGTCTGTATACGCAGAATTTTGTCGATTACTGGAGCCCTCAGTGTTGCTTACTACACTGTTGCCACTCATCTATGCCTTTTCATAAACTTACCCTTTCAACTACAATTTTTCGTGATATAATAGATTTTAGCTAAATATAAACGACTTAGTTTTCAACAAAAACCTTATTCAATAGTAAATTTAAAATATTTTAAACATATTTTGAATAGGAACTTATAACTTTTTTACCATCTGTTAAACTAACGAAGTGGCAACCATCTAAAGAAGGAGAAATCAGCTGACACGGAAAAATCTAAATTCCGCAGATTTCTGCGCTACGGGCTACAACTACAGAAAAATTCTGCGGTGTTGAGTTTTCATTTTCATGGCGCTTTGGTAAGACAGATCGTGTCAGCTGACTCGGGTTTACGTACCGGTAGGTTTACGTTCTTGACTAATTTCAGCTTAAATGAAACTACCTTCTATTTTTGTATCATGTGGGGTGTTCACAATTCGTTCCAAATAGTGTCTGAAAATGTAGACGTCTACATTTTAAGACGTTTTCTAACCGTAAAATCTGTGGTGTTGTTGTTTCCCATACAAAATTGGAAAACGACGCCGTTTTATCAGCTACAACAAAACAACATAAAGCACATTAAAAAGGTACGTGGTTGTTTTGAAATATCACTGCACTTGTTTTTTTTTTGGTGTGAATAATTAAATTTAAAAATATATACTAAAAGAATAGTGTCCGCGAGTGATCTTGTGAAAAAAAAAAAAGTTACAGTCCACTAAAAGTTCTGTCTGTCCGCAAGCGGGCACAGTAACCTCAATTAGTAAAAGCGCGCGAAAATTCATTTTGCATTTTAAGTTTCTGCAAGATAGAATAATATTCCCAATCGAATTAAAATCACATTTTTCAATTTGGAGTTTTAAATTAATTCACGGGAATTTACACATTTTCAGTTTTTTCTGAGTTCCGGATAAGTGGCACAAGTGTATTAACATACATACATACACATATCAAATTCGCATGGTAGCAGAGGCTTAACCTCAAAAAGTGCCATTTTCGTCTTTTCGCCTTTTTCACAAAATCACTCACTAAGCATTAATTTAATATTTGGGGTGTTCACAGTTCATTCCAAATAGTGTCTCAAAATGTAGACGTCTACATTTTAAGACGTTTTCTAACCGTAATATCTGTGGTGTTGTTGTTTCCCATACAAAATTGGAAAACGACGCCGTCTACATTTTGTCACACTCAAAGGTATGTTTTTTACGCGTCTACATTTTGCAACCTCGCAGCAGGGTTGCATTATGGCAATACTAATCACATTTTTTTTATTTATTGGGCACGTTTTCTGTGTTTGCATTTAAATTGAGCGCAATTTCTGATGAAAAGAAACAAATCAAGGAAAAGAAATAACAAATATTTGTAATTAAGTTAAATAATTTCAATTTTTCGGAAACAAAATCGAAAGGCGACATAAAAAATGCACGCAAGGAAGAAATGTCTGGCAACACCAGCAAAGTTTTGAGACGATTTTGCGACGACCGCTAGAAAGGGGTGCTCACAGTTTGATGCTAAAGATGTCTCAAAATGTAGACGTCTACATTTTCAGACACAATTTGGAACGAACTGTGAACACCCCAATGCTCTCCACAATCTTTTTAGTTTATTTTAAAAGTGGCGCTTTCGATTGGGAAATGATGGTGTGATGGCGAAGATGGCATCTGGAGATCTCTCTTTAACGAGCACGAGTAGTCAAGAGGGTCAGTTAGAATTTGAGTTATGCTTTGAACTTCATTCATTTATACAAACATTTTTTCGCTTGCAGAAGAAAGTCCCGAATATGTTGGCTACGATCGCACGCTTCGACCCTCATTGAACTCGAGTGGCAACAATGGCCAAAACAGTGGCAACAGTAGTGGCGGAGGCAGCGGTGTTGTCGGTGGCGGTAGCGCCGGCGGCGGTGGTGGTGGCAATGGTAACAATGCCAATGTTTCAAATGGCAACCAATATGACGTTATGAAATCGCCTTACAGTCCAGCTTTCATGGAACTGAATCAGTTGCGTCATCAGCGCGCCGATGCGCTTTGTCGCTGCGAAGAACTGCGCGGTCAGGTCGCTTACTATCAGGAGCAATATGTCAGCTCAATGGCGCAGCTGGAAAGCACCGAGCGTAACAAGTATATAGACGTAGTGGCAGAAAATGCGCGGCTCAAGCAGCAGAATACAAAGCTAGAACGACAACTGATACGTCTGGAGAGCGAGAACGGTAATAAGTCGGCGGCAAATACGACGAATGCTTACTATTACAGCGATGTGTCGGCAGGACGCGGTGGTGGTGGTGGCAGCGGCGGCGGGGGTGCAAAATGTGATGGTAGCTGTGCGGAGAGCGAAAAGCTGCTGGAGGAACTGCATTTGTGCAAGGAAAGAAATGCTGATTTGTTGAAGGAGCGAAGTGTAATTGCTGCAGAGCGGGAAAAGTATAAAAAAAGTTTCGGCTCGACACTAGCTGAACTGGATAATGTGAAGAAGGAGCGTAATTTCTATCGCGAATCGCGGGAGCATTTCAATTTGCAACGCGACATAATGGAGAAGGAGATACAAAAGCTGAAGTCGCTGCTCACGGAGGAGTCCAAGAAAGTGTTACTGATAACTGTGGAACGCAATCGTATCGATGAGGAGCTTAAACAGTTGCTTTCAGAGAAGGATAATGTTTTGCATGAGCATCAGAAAATGTTCGATGATTTGTCCGCAGCTAAAAACGAAATTGAAAATTACAAGAAAAATGATTTGCTGTACCAGGCGGAGATCAATAAGCTGCATCAGGCCAATGCCGAGTTGCAAAAGCGTGATTTGCTCAAATCCAATTCGTGGTCAAAGGAGTTCTCCGATAGTAAAGATGATTTCAAGGAGGTGGAGAAGCTACGCAAGAGCCTTGAGAAGGCCAACTCTGAAGTTGAGCGTGCGTTGCAGGATGCCGAGCAGGCGAAGGGTGTGCGCGATTGGGCCATCTCACAGCGCGAAAAAATCGTACAGGAGCGTGACTCAGTAAAGTCGCTCTGTGACAATTTGCGCAAAGAGCGCGACAAAGCAATATCCGATCTACTCTCGGCTATACGTGACAGCGAGAAAATAAAAAAACAAAAGGATGAAGCACAAAAGAAGATCGATGTGCTGAAGGAACAAATTGAAAATCAGAATCTGGATAGCGCATCGCGTCGCAGTTTTCGCATGAGCACATACGAGGCTGAGGATCTGCTGGACATCGAACTGAACTATCGTTCCGATAGCGATATTGGCATAATATTGGACGACAGCAACAATCGACAGCTGGTGTGCGGCGTTACCAATAGTTCGCCTGCTTTTGGCAAGCTAAAAATTAACGATGTGATTTGCAAAGTTAACAATCTCGATTGTCAAACCATGACCAAGCGCATGGTGCTGGACGAAATACGCAGCAGCGCGCCACGCTGCAAGCTATTAGTGTCGCGCACGCGCCACAGCAAGCGTGACTTCTACACAGTCCATCTGAATATGCAGAATAATATGAATCACGGACTTAGTCTAGACAAGGGTGTCTTTATTTCCAAGATCGAACCAAACTCGTTGGCCGCATACGAGCCGGAACTGGACGTGGGCGACCGAGTGTTGAGCATCAACAACAAATCTATGGAGGGCGCGCACTCAGTGGATGATGTCATGAGTTTATTGAACGATGAACGCAACGACGCCATCACCATTTTTGCATTGAAGAAAGTTCAGGACATTGGATATGGCGATGGCCAACGGCGCATGACCACTTCGTCCGCGCAAACGGACTCCATCGACTCCATGCACCGCATGACGAGCGCCAAGCATCCCTCAAAGTTCTCTGAAATGTTGAGCATTTTCAAGAAAATACATATCTCTAAACCCGGTTCCGATGTGGATCACTTCACACAGGAGCATGATGCGCTGGCCGAATTGGATTCGGTGCTGAGTGAGAATTCATCAGAGAAGACGCGTCGCGGCAAGCGCAGTAAGAAGGAGAAGGAGGCGGCTGCCAAGAGTATGGGCACCTGGCCGCGCGCCAACATTCTCAACGCCACGCACGAAAACCCCACAGGCACCATAGTGCAGCAGCGCGAGAAGAAGCGTCCACCACTGGCGCTCTTCACTGCTGGTCCGATCAATGTGGACAAGGATGATGAGCGCGAGACCTCCGACGAGCAGCCGCCGCCATTGCCGCCGCAGGCTAAGCCACAGGCGCATATGCGTAACGGTATCACTGGCGCAGGCAACGCCATCAAAACTAATCCGCATCGCAATTCGAATCCAATACCCGCATCAGCGCTCTTTAGCCCCACACCTGTCGCGTCGGCCATGTCAGGCGTAAACGGCGGCAGCGGTAATAGCAATAAAGTTTATGCCAATTACATGCGCCACTCAGTTTATGTGGAGCCACAAATAGACAATGTGGGCCTGTTGGGCGAACCGACCAAGCCACTGCACCGGCCTGCGCCCATCATGGGTGCGAATATGCGCGTTAAAATGCCGCCGGTGCCGGACAAGTATGCCAACCAGCGCGTGCACAACTATCAAAATCGTTATTCGTTGAATATAACGCCCACTGAGTTCTACAAGACTAGCGGCCAGCAAGCTCAGCAACAGGTAATACATGGTGGCAATGGCGCTGAGTTTTTGCCGCGTAAGCCGCACATCTTCGACATGTTGAACAGCGGTAATGGCAGCATGGGCGGCATGCCGCACAGCGTCAGCTCAAGTAAATCACAACCGCATTCAGCACTCTTTGCGCCCTTGAATCTCCACCCGCCAAATTTCGCACGCAGCTCTTCGACAACGCAACAGAATTCATTGGATATGATCTCGATTAAGTCGCAAAACTCTATCGATTCCATATTGTCAGCGAAGAGTCCGCCCATCAGCGAGTGCGCGGTCATAAACCACTATCCGAAGCGTGGCATGCCAATGCCACAGGCTGTCACATCGGCTGCTGGCAAGAATGTCGCCAAGTATCCTAGTGATAGTGAGAGCATTGCCTCGGGCATAATGAGCGGCAGCGTTGGCGGTGTAGGTACAGGTGGCGGCGGCGGTGGCGTCAGCAGTGAATTTTTCCATACCAGCAACATGGCCGCGCCGCCACACAATCGACACTCGCAGCTCTTCCCTACATTCACGCAGATCTCCAGCCACCCACATTCGCATGCCATGCGTCAAATCCGCCACTCTAGTCCGCTTACATTGCCCTCGTCACCACCACTACATGCGCATCCGCACGCCCACGCGCACCCCCCGCATGCCTCTGCGCTGCAACAACAGTCGCAACACGGTGTAGTAGACACAGCTGCAAGTAGCGCAATTGGTATACCTACCAGTTCGGTGGATAAGTTCGATATGGATTTTGTTACGCCCGGATTGCCAATGCATTCGCAATATGTGCATGATTACCCGCTTTCTACCGGTCATTACCATCCACACACTGGGATTCCTGGCGGCGGCGGTGTCAGCGGTATCATTTATGAAGGCGGCACATTTCCACGCAAGAAGGATCATCAACGTTTGCGTATACCATCCAATCCGAGTGTGGCGAGCAAGAATAGCGCTGGCGTCAAGAATAGTTCCGGCTCCATAGATCATCATTATGTCGGCGGTGGTGGCGTCGGTGGTATGCCCAATGTTCCATCAAGTATGGCTGGCGCACCGCCGACAATGCTAATGTATCATTCAGCTATTGCTGCGGTAGCAGCCAATGGTGGTGGCAGTGGACGCGGTTCACCCATGCCACAAGTGCATGTTGAGGTGCTGAGTCATGGCGGCAGTAAGCGTAACTCGAATGCGCCGTCGGATTTTTTATGCCCTGGAGACCTTAGAAGAGTCACGATTGAAAAGAGCGATAAATCGCTTGGCATTACCATTCAATGCAACAACAATGGTGGCGGCATCTTTGTATCGACTGTAGCCGACAAGAGCATAGCCACGCGTGCAGGTCTTCAGGTGGGCGATCAACTCTTGGAAGTCTGCGGCTTAAATATGCGTTCGGCTACAAATGACATCGCGGCAAATGTGTTGCGACAGTGCGGCAACTCGATAACAATGCTGGTGCAATATAATCCGGAAAGTGAGTAAAAATAATTCTTTTCTTGATATCGATAAACGTTATAAGTGTTTGATAATTATTTTAATAAGGATATCGATGAGTATTTTTATAACAATATCGGTTGAAATACCCATAATTATATCGATAACAATGTTGATAACATTTAGGTTGACAAACACGTTAATAGTTAAAGATAAAAATATCCGCCGATGATTAGTTCTACCAATAAATACATATTCCGATTAATACCGTTAATTAATTTCGATAATTGTATCAATGTAAACATATCGAGGAAAAGTATCGATATATACATCGCGTAAACTCATGATTCAATAGCGTAAACTATGAATATGTATGTTGATATGTACATCGATGATGCAAAGATGTGCTTATCGATATCAGTAACGCATTTATCGATATCATTGAATCTTTCGATAACAATTGTGGATTATTATCAATCAAATCAAAAGTATATCCAGAGAATTATCGAAAAATATCGATAAATAGCGATAAATTTTCGATGGGTATATCGATATTTGTATGATCCATTGAGAGAATAATATCGTAAAAATATCTATCGTTAAGTATATCGAAAAAAATGTTGATGTGTATTTATGCATTATATCCAGAGAGTTAAAAATATCGATAAGTATATGGAAAAATCGAAAAATATAGATAAATCTATCGAAAAAATCATCTAAACCCGCATATCGATAAAGTGAGTAAATAACCATAATATCTAGAATTTCGCATACAACGGGCGGCCAAACTGGTTATTACGTAAATAAAGTTTAATTTCATTAAAAAAAATTAACAAAATTAATTTAATTTTTTTTTTATGCAAATACATAAGTTTTTGTTTCACGTACCGAATTTCATTCCGGCGAATACGAGAGAATTATCGAAAAAATTTCGATAACCAAAGAAAAATTACCGATGGGTATATCGATATTTATGTCATACCTTTAGAGAATAACATCGAAGAAAATATCGACAATATATCTAAAAAATATGTGCATAATTATTTATTAAAATTGATATAGTATGTCGAAAAATTTTGGTTGTGCATATCGATATTTATTTATATCGGAAAAGTCAAATGTATCGAAAAATATCAATAAGTTTATCGAAAAAATGTTGGCTACAAACGTGCGGACAAACAGGTTACCACATGATTATAGTTTAATTTGACGATTTCTTTTAATAACAAAATTTATCAACATTGGTGTAAATACATAAATTTTTGTTTAGTATTTTTCTGATACCCCACAATTTGATTCACTTCTTATTAATCAAACTCATTGCATTTACAGAATTTCATTCCGGCGAATACGATGGCACCAATAATCTCGAGACCGAATCTCCAGTTAATCACTCTGGCTCGCCAACACCTCGCAACTCACCACGTCCACCAGTACGAACCATGATGTCATCACTACCACCACTACCTATCTCAGCACCCACTAACAATCCGCTTGCACAGCAGACCAGCCTAATGCCACAATCAAGTTCTCTCATTTCCACACAATCAATTAAGGATCAAAGTTTTGCCGACAGTTTAGAGAATCAATCGGATATAAGTAGTAGTCAAGATTTGCCCTCGTCAGCCGCTACAACAACCACAGCCTCGACGACATCGACTGTTTATGAAGAGGAAGCGCGCTATGTGACCTTGCGCATAGATAAGTCGAAGAATTTGGGCATTAAATTATTTGGTGGCAACAAAGTGGGTATCTTTGTGCATGATGTGCATCCGGGTTCACCATCCGACATCGCAGGCATACGAAAAGGCGATCAGATATTGGAATATAATGGTGTTGACCTGCGTTGTGTCACTGCCGAGCAAGCGGCCAATGAGATATCCAAGTTGACGGACACTGTCACCTTGTTGGTGCAGAATAAATTGAATAGTTCGTCAAGTTTGTTGGTGGTTTGAAGGGAGTTTTTTTTGTAAAATTGTTTCCGTTTTTTACAGAATTGAAGCAAATCAAAGGCAAGTCGGGTGACTCTTTTTATATACGCGTTGGTTTCGATCGCACTGGTGAGCTGAACGATGGTGACTTGCGTTTTGTGAAGGATGAGGTGCTCTATGTGGACAATACGGTTTTTAATGGCACATTTGGCTTATGGCGCGCTTGGAAGCTGGATGCGAAAGGACATCGCAAGGAGTGCGGTATTATACCAAGTCAAATGAAGTAAGTGGATTGCTACCCATGAGATTTTAAAACAAATACGGTTTTTATTTTTTAATTTTGTCACATTAGAGTAGAAGAAGAGTTGCGCGCGGGTGAAGTGGTCGAATGTGAAACCGGCACTGCCCGCCGTGGCAGCACATCGGCGCGTCGTTCGTTTTTTCGTCGCAAGAAACATCAGCGCAGCTCATCGCGTGACTCCACCGAAATTGCCAGTTTCAGCAACACACAGCTAAGCTTCTTTCCTGATTCGGGGATATTAAACGATGATGGCGGCATACTAAGTTATCAGCGTGTCGAACGTCTAGAATGTGAGTGCAATGTGGTCGACACTTTTGCAGTGTTTCAAAAGCAAAAAAAGAAAAATAAATTTAATCTTTACTCTGAATTTTACTTTGACTACGCAGCGCCAGTGCGACGTCCGGTGCTCATAATTGGTCCACTATCAGAGCGTGTTATGGAACGTTTAACTATTGATTTTTCGAATTTATTCAAAATGTGTGAAGTCACATCTATGGATTGCTCACAGGATGCCATGGAAGAGGGACTGCAGGAGAATATTTTCGTGGACTATCGTCGGCGTGGCAATAAATTTGAGTGCACCACGGTAGAGAACATTAATAATGCATGCAAAAATGTGAGTAGGAAGAGAGCAGAAAGTGAGGAGGGGATGCTAATTTTTTTTATTGCTTGTATTCTAAACGCTTTTAGGATCGTCGTCACTGCATCTTAGATATCTCCATTTCGGCCGTTGAACGCCTGCAGCGCTTGCAAATCTATCCAATTGTCTTGCTTTTACGTTTCAAATCGGCTAAGCAAATACGTGAAATACGCGATTTTGGTATTGATAAGATATCGACAAAGGCGGCTAAAGAGATGTATGAACGCGCGCTAAAACTCGAAGCGGACTATAAGCAATACATATCAGGTAGGCGGCAATTAAATAGGTGATAAGTAAATACACTCCCCTTTACTTGAATATGCATATTATTTGTATTGAATAACCGGTCTCATACTTTTACTTATGGGTAACTGAAAATCTTATTTTTTGTTTCAGTTTGAAGAATGATGGGTTTCATCCGATTTTTTTTTATCAGACTACAAAAAAAATCTTATTATTTTTTAATTATCCTAAACCGGTAAAGTGCACTGCGGACCAAAAATCGATTTGGCATAAGGTCTAAGAATGAAGAAACTCGGTTTGAATATGTATTACTGAGTTCTGAGTTGGCCTACCAAATTTTGTTCAATGCACTATATCATATATCCGCTATACAACCAATCTGACCAACTTATGTATATCAACTTCATTGTTTTTGGTGTTAAAAAAATGCGATAAAAAACGGGGCAATGATGTTAAAAAATGCGATGATAAAACGGGACAATAAAGATTAGGCATTTATTATATTCATTATCATGTAGATATACTACACAGTTTGTTTTTATAACTTGCTATTTGCAACTTTTTGCAGTAGCAGTGTATGATACCAGACCTTGGAGGAAAATACCTGCCTATTCAATAAAATCGGGGTGTATACATAGCAGATGACAAGTGTGTATATATACCTAATATTTGTTCTGCATTTTACAGCTGTAATACCCGGCGTTAGCATTAAGCATATGTGTACACAAATCAAGGACTCTGTGGACAAGGAGCAGGATAAGCTATTGTGGGTGCCGGTTAGTGATTGACGTGCTGCAGCCATCGGTGCACAACTGTATTGAATTTAGGCTTAAGCGCGAGGCGCACAAAATTGATTTGTAATATTTGTAAGATTTATTTTTGTTTGCAATGCCATTGGGCGGTGAAAAAAACAACTGCCCTTTGGAGTTTATGGCTTCTATGTACGTATGTTTTTTTTTATTTTTATTTAGCTTTTACGTATGCGGCAGTCTTTTAGCTAAACCGTTGTATTTTGCTTGAACTACAGATTAATGTCTTGTATTAGTATTTTTTTCTTGTATTCTGTAAATTTTTTCGCAATGTTTGGTCATTACCGTACATTTTTAGTTACTTTACTCTGTTTTTAATTCTAGGTTTTAAGCTGTATTTACTTGTGTATTAACTAATCCACTAAGAAGTATTTTGCATAGTATGATTTGCTTTTAGCTGCTTTTACTATTCTTTTAACTACTATAAACTATATAATGTGTTTACTATGAACTGCTTTAACATTTCCTGTTAACTATTAACTATGTATGTATGTAATATTTTCTAGCTTTAGCTCGTTGGAAAAAATTTGATTTTACCATCCCTCTCATATTTTATTGCTACTCTTTCAATTAAGCTACCTTAAAGCGCTTGAGAACGTAAAGTATTTTAAATATTTTTTTCCCTTTACATTATTTTTCCTGTATTCAAATACTGTATTATTATTTCGAAAGTGTTTGCGCATTTCTAAGCTATTCAATTTTATTTTGTTGGTATACTGCAACTGCACTCTGTGCCTTTAAGTGGTGCCTCCCGTAAAGTGTGAAATTAAAAGAAATATATATGTATATTTCAATATGCATAACTAAAAATCACTTAGCCCTTAAGCCTAATATTCGAATACGTCAAATTCATACACAAGTGCGCGTATTTGAGTCAGCAACGAATATTTAATTAATTTTGTTACTATTTTTATTGTTTTATATATGTAATCTAGTGCAGGCCAAGCCTATGGTACAGCGCATTCATTATTATTTATACAATGCTTTATTATTTTTTTGCTTTAAATTTTATTAATTTAACAGTGGTACAGGGTAAAAAACAAAACTATTGCAATTTTATATAAATTATGTATTTTTATTTACTTATATACATACATACATGTATTACATATTCATACATACACTCTTACATATAGGTCATTTGTAAAAAGATAAAATACCCAACAAGCATTTCAGTAAACGTTTTTAAAAATAACTTAAATTA